ATTAGCTAGGTAGCTAGCTAGCTAATGTAACGTTATACCAGTCAAATGAGAGCTAACGTTGGCTAGGTAGCTAACCAACAAGAGAGGAAAGTACGTTTTTTTTTGCCAAGTAAGGTTTTTCACATAAGGCTGAAGTCATCATTTTATTATTATTAAATTATATGCCATTTAGCAGATGCTTTTATCCAAAGCGACTTACTGTCATGCGTGCATACATTTTTGTGTATGGGTGGTCCTGGGGATCGAACACACTACCCTGGCGTTACAAGCGCCGTGCTCTACCAGCTGAGCTACAGTAAATTGATGATCTAGGCGCTTGCATGTAATCGAAGCACAAAGAAATATGCATTATTTAGGTATGAGTTAACAGAATATGAACTTTTGCAAGTGAGATTTTCACTGGACAGTTACTTTCAGGCAGGATGGGAGGCCTGTGGATCAAGGAAAGTCATTAGCTGCTCTCTCGCCCTCGCCCACTCTCTCTCATTCTCCCTCTCTCTCTCTTGCTTCTCTCTCATGCTGCCATGCACACAGTGTATATTTGTAAGGGAGAGTTGCTGCAGTCTGCTTAAATATGATCCCTCGCCATGCAGTGGTGATCTTGCCTCTTTTTCTTTTACTTCAGTCTTCCCTCCTCCCCTTTCGCTCCCTCCCTCTCTCCATCTCCATCTGCCCAGACTCTTTCTCTCTCCTCCTCCCCTTCTCTCTCTCTCTGATGTGGGTGTGTGAGACTCCTGTACCCTTGGGACCTGGGCCTAATTTAGCTGCGGCTAGCCTTGTTGTGGTGGCCCTAGCCTAGCCTCTAGCCTAGCCTAGTGTAGCCGAGCACAACCACGTAGGAGGGTCTGTTATGTCTGGCCCTATGGACTCTTCCTGGAAGTGGAAACCTCAGTCGAGGAGGAACAACACCAGACCACATTCTGTTCTGGGAAAGCCCAAAGTGCATCAGCCGTATCAAAAACAAAGACAACTATGTTCTATAATCTGTATTTTCTCAAAGCTATCAACATTGTCCCTCCAAAAGGACGTGGAGACTGAGAGAATGCTATCAGGAGCAAAGTCTTAACTTTGGACTAACATGATATTTCTATATTTCTTAATTCCATTCTTTTACTTTTACATTTGTTTGTATTGTTGTGTATTGTTAGATATTACTGCACTGCTGGTGCTAGGAACACAAGCATTTCGCTACACCCGCAATAACATCTGCTAAATATGTGTATGCGACCAATCAAATTTGATTTGATCTGATAAGGGATGGCAAGGACCGTTGGAGGTTGGAGTTGGAGGTTGAAGGTTAAGTTGTGGAATTGGGCTGTTTTTGTTCTCGTAGTAGAGAGACATGAAAAGAGATGGGGTTGATAGATGATGGTGTTTGTGTGTATGTAAAGGTGGTACAGATGCTGGCCCCTCTCTCGCTACAGAAGTCAGCTACCTGAACATCTGCCTCTCGTCTCACCCCTTGCTGCTACTACCACACACACACACACACACACACACACACACACACACACACACACACACACACACACACACACACACACACACACACACACAGGTGTCAGTAAACTATGGCTGTGTATTTTGAACACGACTGCCTTAGAACAGGGATGTTCAATCAACAAAGTAGAATCTCCAAAATGCACATATCCAGTTGCACTGTACTTAGATATTTAAATAATTATAGTATAGAGTTGACACTTAAGAGGAAATTCAGCCTAGTCTGCAGTATTGAGATTGTGTTGCTGTAACTCAAAAACCAGTTTATAGTTATTAACCTCACGGAATACAAGACACAGGTGGGTGTGTGTGTGTGTGTTTTAATCACATTTTCAGGAAAATGTGTTGTCTGACACCTGTTTGTTTGCCAGCAGATGTAGACTTTAAGTTTCTGCGGTTAGGGCTCAGTGAGACATCTCTTGCTTCATGTCCTTCTGCGAGCTAGCAGTGAACACTAGACTAGGCGCTAGGCTAATTAACAGGAAGGTCCTCCCTTCCTGCAGTCACAGTGTGGCCCCTCCAGCAAGGAGGTCAAAGACATGTCACAAGCAGGGTGGGGCTCGATAGTTAGAGGCAGAGAGAAAAAAGGTTGTTTGCTCTTTCATTTCCCATTAGTCTGAGAGGATGTTAGCTTTGCACTAGCTAACACAACCTATTTGGTGCCACACACATAACCTAGCGCCACGGGCCATTCTTCTCTCTCTGACACAACCATGACACTGACACTGTTGACACGTTTTCACACTCAGGCCGCAAACTCCTGTTTGGCCCGACGACCTCAGGCCAAACAGGAAGTGACCTCATTCATGTGGTCAATGTCACGGTCAGGGTTTGCCTAGACAACCCAGAAGTAGTATAGTTGAAACCTAACCAGAATATGACGAGAGTATGATGTTGAGCCGCAATGTCCGAGAGTTGCGGCAATTTTGTTTCATTTTGAGCTTGAGATTGACCTTTGGTTCCTCATCTGCTCTAGTGTTAGCCTCAGCGCTAGCTAGCCATAGCATGAGTGTTTGACTGTGCTGAGCTGGACACTACACTGGTGTACCACACGGTGATAGCTAGCAGACAGAGGAACTTGAAGAGTTTCACACAGGGCACATAGACCTTGACTGAACGTGACAGAGTGTGACGTGTCCCACCCACATGAGCAGACACACACATGAGCACAGACAGACACACTGGCAGACACGCATGCCACACACACATCCGGAGGCCTCCATCCAGCCCTCATGAGAAAAGGCTTTGTCACTCTCTCAACCCTGGGTTATTCCTAGGCAGTGAGGGTGCAGATACTATGACTCCACCGAGGTGTGAGATTTCAAAAGCAGGTATTTTTTTTGAGCCGCGGCGCTCGTCTGGGCATGTCTCTCACACAACTTGGCTAATCAAAGGCCTTATATTCGAGTGTGACATCCTGTCTATCCACACCGGATCATAAAGACAAGCCTCGCCCCTCCCTTTCCTCCACACCTCCTCTCTCCTCCTCTCCTCCTCTCCTCCTCTCTCTCTCCTCTCTCTCCTCTCTCTCTCTCCTCTCTCTCTCTCTCTCCTCCTCTCTCTCTCTCCTCTCTCTCTCCTCTCCTCTCTCTTCTCTCTCTCTCTCTCCTCTCTCTCTCCTCTCTCTCTCTCTCATATATCCTCTCTCCCCTCTCTCTCTCTCTCTATTGCTCTCTCCCCTCTCTCTCGCTCTTTCTCTCTCTCTGAAGATATATAATAATCGGTGGTATTGGCGAGCCTGTTGCAATGCAGTGGCTTATCAGCAAAGGGCTGTTGGCTTTCTAATAAAAGTAGGTGTGTGCCACCTTGTGTAGGACACACCACACACGCACACACCGACACACACACAGTTAGTGTTTGGGTGTGTGTGAGACAATACATTGGGAGACAGCAGTGTCACGTTTCACCTCTGCCCGTCCTTCAGATTTCACGTCCTCCCACAAAGCACTGCTCCCAGCATTTCCTGTTTGGGCTGGAAGACCTTGGCAGGCATCCAGATGTACACACACACACACACACACACACACACACACACACACACACACACACACACACACACACACACATGGGCAGAGCCCTTGTTAGGTGGTCAGGTAGACGGAAGCAAGACATCTGCTCCTCTCAGAGACACAGGCCACGTCCCAATATTCCAAAGTGTCTTTTCTGCCTATGTCCTAGTTCCTATTTTGTAGTGACAGGCTATTGTCTGTATGTGGCCAAACATCACATGTGTGACCCGCAGCCTATAACGAATGCTAGACTGGAGGGAAAAACCACACAGCGTCAGTCTGACCTATATCGAACGCACATGACCGTTAAAGACCGTGTTTCATGTTCCCAGAGAAATTGGGCTCTCTGACGTAATTCTTGTGTAAAACAATATATTACAATCAGCAATTGTGACATAAGGTTTGTGTTATGATGCTAACGATGAGGGATTGGAATTATATAACTATTATACATTTATGTATCACTTCCAGATGCTCTGTTGTCATTCACAAAAAACATGTGTATTTCCTTTTATAGTAAGATAGTAGCAAAGGATACACGACATTACATTTATTGGTCGGCTCGAGAGATTGAGAGAATGAGAAAAAGAAGAAGAGGAGAGACAGAGACGAGCAGAGAGGAGGAGGGGGGGGGGGGGGGGGGGGGGGGAGGAGGCTAGTGACAGCCACAGCTTGGAGAGGCTGAGGTCATGGTAGTCTGGAACACAGACCTGCCCTTGTCTGCTTTTTAAAGACTCCCTCAGCTCAGAGACAGAAAGAGAGAGGGGGGAGAAAGAGAGAAAGGGATAGAGAGAGACGTCACACCTCTGCTGGAAAACACTGTAGTACAATTGTCTGGAGTACTGGCGTGTGCAGAATGTGTGTGAGTGAAGCAATGTAGCCTATCCTAGTGTCAACATTATTGCAATACTGTTCAAAAGCTGTCACTGTCGATAGTTGTTTGACTAAAACAAGCTCAACAGTCTCTATATAATTACAAGTGACATATGTCAATATACCAGCTGGTTAAGAAGGGCTTGCAAGCTCGAGTGTGAGAGTTGAGGCTTCCATCTTGTGTTGTCTAACACTATAATAACCCTCAAGCACCCCCACCTCTAGCAAATACACACACACACACACACACAGTCAACACCCCTCCTAAATTTACACACACTCACAATCCGAGTTGTCAGATGCCTTTTCTGTGACACCTGTCTTGAGGAGTTAATCGTTGATTTGTGCTCTTATTTATATTGGGATCACTCGCTCTCTCACAAACACACAAACACAAACACACACACACACACGCACACAATACACACCGGCTAGAGCCGTCTTACACCTCTGGGTGCATTTTCAGTTCACTGGCATTTGAGACTGGTAGGCCATTGAGGATGCCAAGCGGGCAGTGCGGCTCAAATTGCCATCCGCTGGACAAAGGAAATGGCCGGTCTCTGAATAGAACATAGATTTGACCTTGTACTTCTAAAATGGTCCTACAATTTGTCTTACATGCCATTTTCTCTTCTCTCCATTCTTTTCTCTCTCCAGGCATCAGATCCCATCCCAGCCAAGAAGTCTAAACATGAAGACTTCCCATCGCTGCCCCTGTCCGCTGAGAAAGAGAAGCAACCCGATTGGCTAAGATCCCTCTCGTCTTCGGACAATAAGGGGCTCAACTGCATCCAGCCCAGACAGAGACCCTCAGCTTTCAGGCCCTGGTCCCCTAACCTCTCGGCTGGGGACAAAGAGACGCCCAACCGCCCTCTGGCTACACTGAGAGACAGGTGAGCACAACATACTCACAACAACAAACAACAACAAGCTACCCTGAAGAAACACACGTCAACATAGTACACCAAGCGTATGCTTTAAACACACGTCAATCATCCAAGCCTCTAAACAGGGGTGTCAAACACCGCAAGGGGGTCCAATCCGGCCCGTGGGTGGTTAGAGTAAAAATACTTTAAAATGACTCAATATGCTTTAAAATGACTACAACCAAATCGAAACTGTGTAGAAATAATAATGGAACAATATTCATACAGTTTCTTGACTGTCCAACTTGCTAGTCCCCTGTAGCTCAGTTGGTAGAGCATGGCGCTTGCAACGCCAGGGTTGTGGGTTTGTTTCCCATGGGGGGCCAGTATGAAAATGTATGCACTCACTAACTGTAAGTCGCTCTGGATAAGAGCGTCTGCTAAATGACTAAAAATGTAAAAAAAATGCTAATAATCACTGTGCACAGTCAATGGACCTACATTCATACAGTTTCTTGACTGTCCAGCTTGCTAATAAAGACAGTCAGGGAGCATTAAAAAAAAACATGGATAGAGGGACAATTTCTTGCAAGTTTTGACAGCAAGGAAATGTAACCAATTTTCGGTGAAGATCAAATGCGGCCCCCGGGACAAAATGAGTTCGACACCCCTGCTCTAAAACAATGACAAAACACCACTGTTTAAAAGCAGCAACAGTTTGGTTGTTTTGAGAGCACAGCCATGTCAGCCATTTTGGATGGGAATTTTGTTCCCATGTAATGGATGTGCTCCCTCACTATCAGGAGGGCCCACCGGCTTGTCTGGGTGGGCTGAGGTCAGGGGGTAGTGCTGACTGTACCGCCGCCTCCCACACGGCACCACTCACACACACTCAACCGTGTGCACCCACTCGGAGTGAATCACCACACACACATAAGCACATAATACACACATTACATTCACACATGTGCGCAGGCACACACACTTAATCTATTCAATCTTTCAGTTGGTAGGCGTGAATATCTAACAGACTATTACGTGTGGCTGTTGATCTCCCTGATCGAGCAAAGCCCATTTCGGATTCTGAAATAAAGTATCGCGCATGCTCATTGTTAGCTCACTGTCAGAGCATCCGCAATATTCTAGATTCTTTCCCCGTAATCCAACCAAAGACACCTAAAAACCAACCACCTCTCACATCCTCCTCTCTCTTTCCGTCTCTCCCTCTTAGCTTCTACAAATTCAAGACGATGGAGAGCGCCGTGTCCCCAAACGTGGCCCTCACACCCCTGTCCCTGACAAAGGCAGGGCCCCTGTCCCCGTCCGTGCCCAGCAACTTCCACCCCAGCGCCGGGGAGGCCCCAGGAGAGGGGGCCAGCCCCATCTCCAGGCCCCGGAAGAGGATGGCCACCGGGGAGCTCCCGCACCCAGGCCCTGAGCCCCCATCGGCAGCAGCCAGCAAGCCCCCACCCCAGGAGGACAAGGACTCGGAAGTTGAGATCGAGGTGGAGAGCCGAGAGGAATGTGAGTATCCCAGAAACATGGCATGTTTGAAGTGAAAGATTAAAGATTGTCAACAGCCGAAAACCTTTGACTCTGACTCAAAACGTAACATTACTCTCTCTCTATCCTCTCCTTCCCCAGTCACTTCGTCCCTGTCCTCCCTCTCCTCCCCATCCTTCACCACCTCCAGCTCGGCTAAGGACCTGAGCTCGCCCGGCGCACAGGGCCTAATGTGTACGTTGGCGTCAGCTGTGTTGACCCCTGAGGGTGGCCCTCTCGCTGGGGTAGCGGCAGCAGCAGTGGCGGTAGTGTTGGCCCCTGATGTCCCCGGGGCCGGGGGTCTTGAGTCGGAGCTGGAGACCCTGAGGCAGGCGCTGGACAGCGGGCTGGACTCCAAGGAGTCTAAGGAGAAGTTTCTGCATGAGATTGTCAAGATGAGGGTGAAGCAGGAGGAGAAGCTTGGCTCAGCTCTGCAGGCCAAACGCAGCCTCCAACAGGTACAGAGACCCATTAATCAACTATCCTATACCACAATTCACGTACACTGAGTGTACAAAACATTAGGAACACCTTCCTAATATTGAGTTGCACCCCCCCTTTTGCCCTCAGCCTCAATTCGTCGGGGCATGGACTACAAGGTGTCGAAAGCATTCCACAGGGATGCTGGCCCATGTTGACTCCAATGCGTCCCACAGTGACTGTAAGTCGCTTTGAATAAAAGCGTCTGCTAAATGGCATATTATTATTATTATTATTAAGTTGGCTGGATGGCCTTTGGGTGGTGGACCATTCTTGATACACACGGGAAACTGTTGAGCGTGGAAAACCCAGCAGCATTGCAGTTCTTGACACACTCATACCAGTGCACCTGGTACCAACTACCTACCATACCCCGTTCAAAGACACTTCAATCTTTTGTCTCGCCCATTCACCCGGTGAATGTCACACATACACAATCCATGTCTCAATTGTTAAATTGCTTTAAAATCCTTCTTTAACCTGTCTCCTCCCCTTCATCTACACTGATTGAAGTGGATTTAATAAGTGACATCTATAAGGGATCATAGCTTTCACCTGGATTCACCTGGCCAGTCTATGTCATGGAAAGAGCAGGTGTTCCTGATGTTTTGTACACTCAGTGTATATTTAATAAAATATCCATAAATATGTGATGGAGACTTGGCTAAGATCTGACAACTCCCAGAGCTAATGCCTAGGTTTTAGCCCTATTCTTGCTTATGCCAGTGTGTCTTAGTTTCCTCAAACTCTATGTGCCAGACAGAGGGCAAAATGTTAAGAACTCAGATGACTAGAGGCTTACACCATGACTTGGCAAACAATGTTGAAATAGATGTCGCTGCAAAAGCAGTCGGGGCAGACTTCCATTTATATTTTGGTATTGGAAAGGAACAAAGAACTAGATTTCTTTTTAACAAGCGACAACTGTGTGTGTGAAGCTACACAACATGCATCCTCCGAGACATAACATTCTAGAATGACTGCATTCCACTCAGCTTACGTTGTCTTTGTCTGAGGATAGAGATGAGAAACACAAACAAAACAAACACGACAATTTAAACGTCCCAGTTTAACACAGCAGCCAATTGCAGCACTCACTTTTGTTCAAAGGTTCCACTTAATTGACCAAATAGGACATTTTGTAAATTGAGCAAGTAGAACGGGGGATTGTTTTTCTGTCCTTTTCATCATACTTTTACGAGGTAGCTAACAAAGCTCGACAACAGACGTGCTTGTCCTGGCAGTTAGGTTCCCATGAGAAGGGTGTTTTTATATACACACACATATATACACACAAAGAGAGAGAAATCTCTTAGTCTCTCAGTTTCAAAGAGGAAGGAAACTCACATCTGTTCGCCCTCTCATCTCCTTAACCCTTCACTCAGACGACCTCACCCATCCCTATAGTAAACACTGTGGGATGTGGTGTATTGAAATAGGAATTCTTAGTACATGTACAGTATATGGAGGAAAGTTCTATTTGGTGACCTTCCTATGAATGTATAAGTAGCTAGCCTACATGTTCTTAACTTTGCATTCCTTGACTGAAACCACTTGACTTGTTCAACTATGTCTTATAACACAGTACATTGTGCAGTAAATGTTTTCAACAGACTTAATGTTACATTAAACTTGCATTGTTAGTTTGGATGAGCTTTCATAGCATTAAACTCTTTTATAAAAGTTATCTCTTTATCTGTTTTCCGGGAGTTTGCTATGAGTTTCAGAGGGTTCAAAGTTCAACAGGGTTTCCTCAGGCTCAATGTCAACAGCTAGCTTGTTATTTGGTTTAGTGTCCTTGACTACATTTAATGACAACTCTTCCTCTGTAGGCTAATGCTAATTAGCTTTTGCTAACCTGTACTCGCTAATGGTAACTCAGTAATGCTATTGCTAGTTAGCCCGTCCTAATGTTTACGTCAACTTTGTCCCATAGGAGTTGGAGTTCCTGCGGGTGGCTAAGAAAGAGAAGCTCAGGGAGGCCACGGAGGCCAAGAGGAACCTGAGGAAGGAGATTGAGCGCCTGCGCGCCGAGAGCGAGAAGAAGATGAAGGAGGCTAACGAGTCGCGCATGCGTCTGAAGAGGGAGCTGGAGCAGGCCCGGCAGCTCCGAGTGTGCGACAAGGGCTGCGAGGTGGGCCGCCTGCGCGCCAAGTACTCGGCACAGGTGAGGACACACACACACAATAGGCTACTCAAACCCAGACAGAGAAGAGGCCATAGTCAAAGTGTCTGTAGTCTGAGTCCGATTACATAAACACTCCGAACGGAGGCTAGCCCTCAAAGTAATTGCAGCATTTCTGTCTAACACCAAGGTTAAGCGTTCTCATTGTCAATGGGGTAAGAAAAAACAGTTCCTTCTACTTGTCGAAAACAAATGGGTGTAACCCAAAGAGCACAGACGCGAGATAAGTGCTAGCCCAAAGAGGAAACAGGAAGAGACTCTTAAGCATCATGGGAAATGTAGATTAGACAAAACAAAAGAGAAGTACACTGGCCTCGAGTCCTAGTTTCTCTAAAAATAGCAATTTGCTTTCTAGCCCTTTCTTAAAAGCCTTTACTTGAATGAATGTTTATAGTGTTTGTGGGATTTGGAGAGACAGCTAAGTTAGGTCTGTGTCGCTAGTTCACTGTTGTTCACTGTTGTGTGTCTGGGTCTGGAAGTGGAGGGGCTTAGAGGTTTGCAGAGGCGGGGGGAAGGATGTGGCTATGGCGTCTTGCTGTCACACTAGCTGTGTGTGTGTGTGTGTGTGTGTGTGTGTGATTTAAGTTTTAAGAGTTAAAGAGATGATATTAGGTAGTAAACAAACAAAAAAATAGACACTAAGCAGGTATATTGTCTGGTTCCTCAGCTCAACCCTTCATGGTGTTTATTTTTGTTCCAGATCGAGGACTTGCAGATGAAGCTCCAGCATGCTGAGGCGGACCGCGAGCAGCTTCGGGCAGAACTATTGCAGGAGCGGGAGGCCAGGGAGCACCTGGAGAGAGTGGTCAAGGAGTTGCAGCAGCAGCTGTGGCCCAAGGAGCAGGACACGCCAACCAAGGACACCCCCGCCAACAACTAGCCCCTCCCACCATCAACCCCCTTCCAATCCCCCACCATCAGCACCCCAAAACAAAACTACGCCCTCCCCAACCAACCCAACCAGAGAGACTGAGATGACAGAGACAAAATAGAGAAAAGCAGATATATCGAACCTCTATATGTGCGCGTATCCATCGTCACAAAAATTGTATGAGTGCTTGGGTGCATCCTTGGAGCGAGAAACAAAGCAAGTCAAACTCTGTATTTGTACATGGACAAAGGAAATATGTGTTACTAGGACAAGCACTGAAACGCACCTCTCCTCCAAAAACTGAAAATTTGATCGGAAGAAGAAGAAAGAAATATAGCACAAAATATGGTTGTGCATGTATTTTCTCTGAGACAAAAAATTGTGAACATTTTGGATACAGACTTTTCTATGATGAAAAACTAAAAAAATATGATAATAATAAAAGATATTAGACTGGCCTGTTTAGAAAAAACATGGAGGGCTGTAAAAACTGCAGACGAGCCGAGCAGGCGGACTGGACTCTGCCCACGTGCCCCAGCAGGACTTCTGCTCCGTTTCCCGTGAAGAAGTTAAATAATTTTATGACTTTATAAGCTATTTAAGAGACTGCATAGCGATATAAAAAAAAATATTTTAAAAAAATCTTTGATTCTTTGTTCTATCGGAGCTTAAAAAAAAATATTTACAAAATATATTAACAGACAACAAGCAAGATAAACTACCACCAGTGCCACCATGGTTCGTCGGTGTGTAGAGGAGGCCATTGTAATCCATTGAGGAAAAGTATGAAAAGTTTGATCTTTTTTTTCTTCTTTTTTTTTACTATTCCAAAAATACATAATAAAGTTTACTATGGAAGAGATGAGGAGGATTGCATTGGACTAGATCTTTTATCTCTTTGAAACTTATAAAGAACTTATAAAGATAAACTTTGTGATGAATTTGTATCTGGGTGCAATCTGAAGCCCAGACCGCTGCCAGTTTCCCCCGGGACTGTTGGTTAAAACTAGCTTGCCTGTGTTTCCTCATTTTCATTTGATTACCGAGAGTTGGCATGACTTGCTCAAATTAAGATAAAAAATACCATTTTTGAATATTATGATTTTAGGGCTGGAAGTGGCGCCTTTAGCCAGAACCACAAAATGTTATTTTTAATTAAATTATGGTATGTAAATATAGATATATGTTTTTTTTTTACTTTACAATAATGAATCGCACTTTGTCATAACAAAATACTGTTATAATGCATTATACTCCCACTATTGTCTTCAATCTTACATTGGAGAGCACATATCCATGACAAGAACAATATAAATCCAAGTGAGCGTTTTGTTAATTATATGCAACTCATTTAAATGCAATGTATTCATGTGTTTAAGACAAAATATTGTAAATAAAATGAGAGAGAAAAAAGGGGTCTACACGCTTGCTTGCTGATACAGTTTGGGCTGTTGAAAAATGTCATTTCAATCTTTTTTTGGCACTAATTATTCCCTTTTGGTTGTTTAATCAATTGACACTCCTCAAAATAGAAAGACAGTGGGATGTAGGATTGCAAAACACAGAATGTCTTCAGTGCCCAACTCTCCTACATTTTGGGTATTTATTAATACGCCAATGATTCATCCAAGTTCCAAGTTGTAAAACAGGGCTGTTAGACCAGTCATGGGAAAGCAGTGATTATAAGAGTCCGAAGACACATTGCTCACATATTTACCTGAAAAAATTAATGATTAATTAGAAAATACATTTACTAATGCTCCGAATACACAGTGGGTACAATGCAATCAGAATGTACGTTGTGTTTATGACATTTTCATTGGTTGTTGATGTTCTTGTTGTTGTTTTTAATGTGGGATATTTTTATTGCTTGTCTGTTTTTCCAATAGAAAACTCATATTTTCTTTCATATGCATGACATTTGAGAAGGTTTGCCATACATATAGTCATTATTGGGCATTGATACTGCACATGTAAGGGTTTTATTGTGTTACGCAATATACAGCAAACATGTCTTTTTTAAAGAAAAACAACTCTTTTTTAAAGGAAACTAAACTTTGTTTATTACATAGATCAGAAGAAGAACTACTTCACAAATACAGCCCAAAACATAACCCGAAGTTCAAACGCAATGCTGGACAACCTCAAGTGCCTGAAAGTGGGCAGATGGTTTCCAGATCAGGAACACTGATGATGAAGTAATTGTAGCTGGCCCATAGGGACATGCTCAGAGTCAACTCCACCATGGGATGTCAAGCCCGTCACACAGTGCAGACACTGTCGACGGAGGGGACACTTTCTTTTTGCACTCTCGAGGGTAGTCTCTAGAACATTCTCCCGCCTCTCTGCACTATCCCTCTCGACAGGCCTGACTTGACTACCTTGCTCAAGCTACAAGATGAAGCTCTTGCAGTTTACGGCAGTAATTACATTTACTCTACATTTTGAGCAGAAACAATTTAATGACTTTTAACTGCAAAAAAAAGAAAAATACAATATAAAGCATTTTGAATGATATCTGTAATTCATACAGAAATGCTCTTTCAGAGATATGCATGTCAAAAACAATTATAGGTATCAACAGAAACCTTATGTACCATAGCTATGCAGTATTATAAGGTTAATCTTGGTTGTAGATAAAGATGTCATACCATTTTTACATGATCTGATCTGTCTATCCAAAGGTGGACATCTCTAACTAGTGAAGAGGGCATTATGTCGAAGCCCCATGTCTTAAGCAACATTAGAAAGGGCAATGTTATTGAGAGACTGACACTGAGTTTGTGACTTTTGCAGACCTTAAATTGGCACATTTTATAGTTGTTTTTACACTCAAACAAATTGATATTCGTAGTTTCCTTTTCATGGTTTTCTACAAAAAGGGAGAAAATGACGACATTGGCTCTTCGGTTAAATTATTTATTATTTTCTAAACAAGAACCATTTTGCTAAATGGACGACAATAAAGCAGCAATAACAGTACATATTAATAGACAAAACTAGCCAGTGTGAAGATAAAAAAAATAAGAATTTACAAATGTAAATAATTTTTCATTTACAATATTGTATTATATATGTACATGGTTATCCTTATTCAAAAAGAAATCTTTTCTTACACAATAGCTGTCTTGTTTTTTTGAATTTGTGTTTTAACTGAGAACATGTTAAAAAAAAATCATTTTTGCAGTGCATTAGAGAATATTCCCTATGTGTTTTATCCCATTATTTTGATCTTTTTTTTTTTTTTTTTTTTACTGTAGTCTTTATATTGAATGATTTTTTCACCAGTTCATATATATTTTTAACAATATATTCAATATAGTGTACCCATGGTAAAAATGAGTCACACAAGAACTACCGCCACCTCTTAGATTTTTTTCCCATCCTCGTATCTTTTTAGCCCTACGCTGCTGCTAATACTATATCAACTTTACAATTCTATAAATATTTTTATGTAAGAGGTAAATGTGTGCTTTCTCGTTTATTAATGACGCATATAGTATGAAAAAAAAGCTTGGCTTATTTATCTATTTGTTTCTTTCCCTTGTTTTATCTCGCCTTTTCCACCTCCCCCCATCGACAGCCTCTCCTGCTCTCACGACACGGACTATATTATAAAGTAAAGGACTTTATGAGATGATGTTTGAAAATAGCTACGCTTATATACCACAGTGACTGAATGTACAGTGTATAGATGCATTACCAGAAATAAAGTTGTTTGTCCAGATTATATGACCCATTTTTCTTTCTTATAACTGCTGGTTGTTTCTTGCTTGTGACCATCAGATTGACTGACATGAATTCATCCCCCTATCTTGGGCATCACAGTTTTTATACATGCCAATGAATATGTTGTAATAGCTATACTGTTCAATTTACAGTATATACTGTTCACGCTCTTATGAGCATGCATACACCATTTGATATTGTGGCAGAATATTTGGAATTTTCCAAGCTTTTTAAAGGCACAGTCAACTTAGTGTATGTAAACTTCTGACCCACTGGAATTGTGATACAGTGAATTATAAGTGAAATAATCTGTCTGTAAACAATTGTTGGAAAAATTACTTGTGTCATGCACAAAGTAATGTCCTAACTGACTTGCCAAAACTATAGTTTGTTAACAAGAAATTTGTGGAGTGGTTGAAAAACGAGTTTTAACGACTCCAACCTGAGTGTATGTAAACTTCCGACTTCAACTGTATATTCTTCGTAGCTGTCTATTTACCACCACAAACCGATGCTAGCACTAGGACCACACTCAATGAGCTGTATACGGCCATAAGCAAACAAGAAAATGCTTATCCGGAGGCAGCGCTTCTCGTCGCTGGTGATTTTAATGCAGTGAAACTGAAATCCGTTTTACCTCATTTTTACCAGCATGTCACCTGTGCAACTAGAGGTGACAAAACTCTAGATCGCCTTTACTCCACACACAGAAATGCATACATGGCTCTCTCGCCCTCCCTTTGGCAAATCTGACCATAACTACCCTCCTGATTCCTACTTACAAGCAAAAACTCAAACAGGAGGTACCAGTGACACGCTCAATACAGAAGTGGTCAGATGAAGCGGATGCTAAGCTACAGGACAGTTTCCCCAGCACAGACTGGAATATGTTCCAGGATTAATCCGATAACATTGATACGTTTACCACATCAGTCACCAGCTTCATTAATAAGTGCATCGACAACAACGTCCCCACACTGACCGTACGTACATATCCCAACCAGAAGCCATGGATTACAGGCAACATCCGCACTGAGCTAAAGGCTAGAGCTACTGCTTTCAAGGAGTTTTTATACATAAAACGGACATTGCCATTGGCTGCACAGTCTAATTACATTTTTTTCCAACTGCTTACACACGTTTTCAAAACTCATGTTTTCAAAACTGCACACACAAAATGCCTCACATCTTCTTCAAAATGTAACACTGCATTCAAAATGCCATAAACACATGTCAGAATGAAGCATTTGCATCAAATGGCAAACATTTCTTTCATAATAGTACATTTTTGGATATACCATGTAAACACTGTTGTTCTAAATCTAAAGCTCTTTCATAGGCTTATATCTACATTTCAATACAATGTTCTACAGTGAAAGTAAACTGCTGAGAGGGGTAACAAGTACACTGTAAATACCAATGCAATGTAGAAACAGAAAATATTTATTATGCCAAACATTACTGTTGTATACAGTAGCATACAACAAAACCATAAACATATGTAAACCAAAAGTATATTCTTTAGAATACAGTAAAGAACACAGTTGTGTGTGTGGGGTCCCGGGGGGGCAGTCCAGGAATTGGTAGGGGAGGGGCAGTCACCAGTGCTAAGCTTCGCTTCATCTCTTCTCCGGGCTGGGTCTGGCCACAATACTTTGTCCACATCACATACGTTTTCTCTTGCCAAACATCGAGGAAAAGAATCTCCTAGCATGGCGTATCCAACCTTGGACAGAGGCAACGTCTATGTCCCCAAATGAGTCCTCCATTGCCTGGAGAAGCGGCATGCGGGCATAGGGTTGGCGATCATACACTTTCCAGCGCCAGGTTGAGAAGAATTCCTCTATGGGATTTAGAAAAGGTGAATATGGGGGTAGGTACAAAACTACAAATTGTGGATGGGTGGCAAACCAGTTTTGGACCAGAACAGCCCGGTGAAAACTAACATTGTCCCATATAACCACAAATCTAGCAGGCTCCTGATCTGGATCAGGGACAAGCATTGTGTAAATTGCATCCAGAAAAGTGAGCATATGGCCGGTGTTGTACGGACCCAGTGTGGCATTGTGATGGAGGACCCCGTTTTGAGTGATGGCAGCACACATAGTTATATTACCCCCACGCTGTCCAAGGACATTGGTAATTGCCCTCTGTCCTATTACATTTCTTCCACGGCGCCTGGTTTTTGTGAGGTTGAAGCCAACCTCATCCACATAAATAAATTAAT